TGTGTCTGGGAACCTTGGGCACGTTAGCTCCTCCGGACAGCAGAGCAGGTTGGCAGGTGGGGCTGCAGGTCCCATTTGCAGCTGGGACAAGGGACAAAGCCAGGTGAAACCCAAGTGTTTCTGTCTCCAGATCCATGCTCTCAACCCTGGACATGTGGCTTCCCTGATTCCTAGGAGAGGAAGGGAGGAGGGGAATTCCCCTGGAGCCCCCTCCACGTCTCACAAACATCCCTGGCGGATCCCAGGCCTGCCTACCCTGTCTGCAGAGCTCCTGGGTCAGGACAGTAATCCTGCTGGCAATTCATTGGCTTTTGTTGGAGGAGAATGAATACCATCTCATCTTAATCTTCCTCATTATTCTCCTCGTTCAGCAGAGTCAACACAAGATTAGGTCTAATTTATGGGGTAAAAAAAATAGCAAAGCCATTACTCACCAGGAGATCAGGATTGGATCTGCCTGGGTGGCCTGTGTTCATTGCAGGCCTAAGCGGGACAGACTGGGGGTTTCAGGACCCAGACCCACGTATGGTTAGATCCCTGGAGACCACCCACCCTTCTTCGTCTGATAGGACTTAGACCTCAAAGGACCCAGCCTCCTAAATGTTTCTCGAGCCTGTGGTGTAAGAGCGGCCCCAGAGCAGGGCAAGGGGCCCAGCCTCTTCAGACCCAGGCTTAGCCTCAAGCAATGGAAAGAAACCAGACTTTGGGTTCAAATTCAGCCTTCTGAAGCCCCCTTCCCGGGGAAGAACTGGGTAGAACCAGCCCACTCTGGGTACTGCCTTGACGTTGCTGCCACCTAGTGGTACTGAGAGGAACTGCTCCTCTAGGTCCACAACTATAAACGTACCATACATACAAAAATCCAGATTTACAAAGTAAATGAATCAGAGCGAGGAAAGGGGACTTTTTTCTTTTTTTATTGATTTTTTAGAGATAAAGTGGGGGGAGAGAGAGAAACATAGACTTGTTTCACGTATTTCTGCATTCATTCATGCTTGTATGTGCCCTGACCTGGATCGAACCCAAAATCTCGGTGTATGGGGACGTCGCTCTAACCAACTGAGCTGCACAGCCAGGGCTGAAAGGGGACTTTTTCAACTGCAAAATGGTTAGAGGGCTCCACCAAGAAATCTAAAAGAAAGTTCATCTCGGGCCCTGACCCCTTAATGCAGCGGTTCTCAACCTGTGGGTCGCGACCCCTTTGGCGGTCGAACGACCCTTTCACAGGGGTCGCCCAAGACCATCCTGCATATCAGATATTTACATGACGATTCATAACAGTAGCAACGAAAATAATTTTATGGTTGGGTCACAACATGAGGAACTGTATTTAAAGGGCCAGAAGGGTGAGAACCACTGCCTTAACACAAGGTGGCCCCGGAACGCTTAGCACCTCCCCCTCCTCCTGGAGCAAGGATATGCAGAGAAGCCCTAACACCCACAGTCCTTGCCACCTCCAGCTCTTTTCACTCCTCCTAACTGCTGCCCCTGCTCGGTCCCCTGGCATGTGCCCCTCTTTGATCACGGACCGTGGTGAAGTGGCTAGGACTGGAGCTGGAGACCCAGCCGCAACTACTTACTCATTGGGTGGCCCTGGGTGACTTGCCCAACCTCTCCAGAATGGAGCCCGTGAGGCTGAGACAGGCCACGGGGACACCCCCGAGGGAAGGGATGCAGGGGAGGGTGCCGGTGGCCTGGGATGGAGATGGTGAGGTCAGGGGCCGCAGGGAGGCCCTCTCTGTGTCTTCGCTCTTTCCCCTAGAAAATAGGGATATCTGTGTCTGCCAGAGAGGGCTGTGGAGCAGACTAAATGGGCTGCTGTGCTTCGCACAGGAATTGGCACCCGTAGGGCCTCAGCAAATGCCTGTCATTGTCACCATCATCATCGTCTTCATCGTCGTTCATCCTGCTACTCTTGGGGAATTTGGTTTCATCAACTGGACTGTCAGCTGCTGGTCTCTAACTCCCTGTCCCACCTCCTTCCTGTTAGACAGAGGAAGGTTTTTCCTTAGAGGACACTGACATCATATCTGCTTCCTATATAGCATGTATACCTTATATGTCAGAGCACACAGTAGGTGCTCAGAAAACTCTCAGAATTGCCTGCCTACATGTCCAACCTCGTGTCAAACCATTCCCCCCATTTGCTCACTGAGCTCCAGCCACGTTGGCTGCCTTTCTGGTCTGTAAGTCAGTCCATTCCCACCTCAGGGCCTTTGCACTCACTGCCCCTGCAATGCTCTCCCCCCAGGTATCTGCACGGCTGGTTTCTCCTTATCACTCAAACGTCACTTCCTCAGAGAGGTCCTCCCTGATCACCCTGACCAAAATAGCACCCCCGTCCTCACGCTCTACTTGTTCCCTACACTATGGAGGTCAGAGCCTAAGTGGCTGAATAGGATTCCAGTTCCGCTTCTTAGCTGTGCTTCAGTTTTCTCATCTGTCAAAACCGGAAGTGATAACAGCTCCCACTTCACAAGGCTATTATGAATTAATGCGCATAAAGCTCTTAGAACAGTGCCTGTCGTGGATATTAAGTGCTACACCAGGTTAGCGGTTTTCTTTTTCATTCATTTAACCTCTTGTGTTTAGTGTCTCCATCTAGAGACTGTGTATTTCAGGAGGGCAGCGTCCTTGTCTGTTTTATCTCTTCCTGACAGGTAGTAGGTGCTCAATAAATATTGATTAATTAGAAAGGGTACATGCAGGCCGCTCTCCTTAGCCAGTGTTCACAGGCCATTGAGCTATGTGGCTGGCTAGCCTGTCTGCTATCTCTGGCTTGGACACTCCAGTGTCCGGAAGGCCCTGAGGCGCCCCCTGCTGGACAGCGTGTAGGTTTCCCTTGAAGGAAGCTGGTATCCGCGGTCCTATAACTGTACGCTCCTGGGGGTCCACTCTGCCCTGTAGAGCAGGGACGATGAAGTTGAGGGGTTAAGAGCAAGCCCTTTGGAGCAAGATGCGCCTGGATTAGAACTCGTGCTTCTCCGATTACTCTGTGTGTCATTTGCCAGGAAAGTCTCTCACCCTCAGTCTTGTCATGTGAAGAAGGGGGATAGCAATGCCCTCGCCCCCTTCCCCACCTCCGGCTAGGGTTCAGGGCTGGTGTGACAGGACGCCCCCTGGGCACAGTGAGCCTTACAGGCCCACCTGCCCCCTCCCTCCCAGCGTCAGCCCTCTGACAACTCAGGAGCAGCTGTCTTGCCTTCCCAAGCTAAGCACCACCAGTCTATCCAATGGGCCCTCCCGTGACAGGTGCTCAGGGACGGTGGGTCTGGACCACCCCAATATCTGAGCCCCTCAGCGCTCCTCTGCGGGCTCTGGGGGAAAGAATCTGGTCTCTGGGCTTCTGGATCTTTCCTCTGAGAGCAGGCAGTTGGCTGCGGGTGGCCTTGCTGGACTTGCACCCTCTTACTCACCCCACCCCCCTCCCTGGCTTTGCTGTCTCCCCATCAAGGCCCCAGAGACCAGGTTCCCTGGGCCCTCACTTCACAATTGTTTCCGGCCCTCAGCAGTGCCCTAGGCTTTGCCTGCTGGCCACATACACTGCAACTCCCAGAACCCCAGACACCACCTGGGCCTCTTTCCTGAATCCCCACAGGGGAGCTCCCCCACCTGCAGCACCTTCCACGCCCCCCACATCCCTGCCCTGACATCCAGTCCTCACAGGCGCCAGGACCCGGGTCCCGGCCTCTCCGGCCCACTGATCGCTCCGTCCAGACTCCAGCCCCAAGGAGTCCTCTCCCAACTCATCCCCACCTGGCTCCCCACTCGCCCATCCTAGTCAGTCCCTCACCCCAAAGCTTCCCAGGTTACTCCTCTACTTAAGCCTGGGAGCTCATGGGCTGACCCTCTTCCTCTGTGAATCCTCATCAAACTGGGCCCCCAGCGCAAGGCACTGCTTCCCCTGCCGACTGGCAACTCAGGTGGGTGTGGATGGTGCCCTCCCCACCAGACTGTGAAATCTCCTAGAAAGGACTGGGAGCAGAGGCTAGGCCTCCGCCTTCAGACTGAGCATGTCCCCAGAGCAGGGGGTAGGCCTCCACCCTTAGACTGGAGACTCCCTTCCCGGGTACCCCTCCTCAGTGTAGCCAGGACGATACCTCTTCCTGGGACAGGGAGTGTCTTGTTCACCCTGTCACTTCAGGACCCTACATAGGGCCTGTCCATGATGGGGACTTCAGCAATCATGAGTGCATGCATGAGCCCCAGCTTCAACCCTGCAATCCCACCTGACTAGCAGGAGGCATCAGGGCTCAGAATCAACGGAAAGCTGGAGGGGCACAGGGGTTTTACTGGTCCCCACGTCGGAGAGAGCAGATGTCTCAGGACCCTCCCTGGCCCAGGACCAGCAGCTGAGAGTCCTGGGGAGGGGCCGGTTGGAGAGCTGCTGGTGAGGCCAGAGCCTGACCTCTGCTGGCACAGAACAGGGCACCACACCCTCCCCCCCTTCCCTCAAACCAGTGCCAGGGGCCAGCCCCTGGGCCAGGCTTAGAAAGTGACCTGTGAGACCAGATGCTAAGGACTCCTGTGCAATTCAATAGCAGGGCAGGGAGGACAGTGAAGTGGGCGTGAACTGAAGAGGGACGCCAAGCTGGCCTTCCTGTGGGCCCCACCCTCACCTCCCCACCCCCACCCCCAGCCCAGGCCATGGGCATCCCTACATGAGGTGTTGCCATCACACACCAACCTGCCTTCAGAAGGAAATGAGAATGGGGATCAAGAAAGGCCTGGGGGGTGGCCCCACACACAGAGCCCCCCCTCGTTCCGGCCTCTGGGCAGCTTGGGTGTCAGTCAGGCGCCAGGCCCAGCGCCCCACTCCGGGGCCTCACAATCCCAGCCTTTGTCCACCGGCCCAGGCCTGGCTGGCTCTGCCCCGGCCCAATGGGCCCTGGAAACCAAAGCAGCTGGAGCCCCACCAAGTATTTTTCCAGGCTGAGCCAGGGCCCTCGGGAGACAGGGAAGGGTGCAGAGGAAGGGGGGTTTATTCATCCACTCGTTCATTTCTTCCTCGAACAAGTCATGTTTATTGAAAGTCCACTTTACGGCGGGCACTGTGCTAGAGGTGGGGGATTCCGCGGTGGGCCCAGTCCAGGCCCAAGCCTTCACCCATCTTATTTTCCAGGTGCAAACATATGCCAGCAAAACCCTTCTCTACCTGCGTGGGGGCTGGGCTTGGAGCCGGGGCGGGAGAGTAGTGCGCAGGGAGGGGAAGGTGAGGTGCTACCACTAAGGCCTGTCTACCCCGGGCTTCTGCCCCTGCAGGGCAGCTGGGGGGAGCGGGAGGAGGGGTCACTCAGGGCTCCACCCACACGCTGCTGTTGGTCACCCGGGCCCCGAACCAGCCCTTCCAGTAGACGGAGTCCTGTCCCGCGTGCTCGAACCGGACGAAGCGAACGCCGGGCCCGTAGTCGGTGAAAGTGTGGGAGATCTGGGGGGTGAGAGGAAGGATCAGACACCCGGCGCACTAACTCGCCTCCAGCCCCAATACGATTTCTCAGCCCCAGGCCCTCTCCCACCCGGTGGGCCCTTCCGACCCGCCCCGCCCACGGGGCGTGGTTTCCACAAGCCCCGCCCTCCGCATCCCGCCCCAGCGCCTCCAAGTTCACCTCGATCCAGCCTCCGTCGTCGCTGTCTGGCGGCACTGCCACCTGCCCGCTGCTGAACTCGGCCAGCACGTCTTCGTGCTCCGACAGCAGCTTCACCGTGAGCTCATACAGGCAGCCGGCGTCGCTGCGCCCCGAGTACCTGCCCGGGGAGGGAGCGAGCGGCAGGCCTCAGCCGGGGGGCGGGGCCTTCGGAGTGTCCCCATTTTACAGATAAGGAAACTGAGGTCAGCGAGAGAAAGTAACTTTTCCAAGGTCCAAACCCAAGGACTAAAATCCAGGTGGGCGAGACTCAACCTTGGGCCCAAAGCCAGCCCGCCAAGACATGTTTCGTTTGGACTGTAGACGGATTAAAACCAAAAAAAAAAAAAAAAAAAAATTTTTTTTTTTTTTGCCAACATTTAAACTCAGGAGGAAAGGTAGACTTCACCCTCTCCTGGAGACCCGGCCCACATGGCCACAACCACTAGCGTGGGGAGGCAGTGGCCCTGAAGCAGGGTAGTGACTTTAGTCCCCTCTTCTTCCCCCCCTCCC